TGATCAGGTATAGATGTTGGATTGGTGTGTGTGTGTGTGTGTGTGTGTCCCTTCCTCGGCCTGACTATTTAAAACTCTGGTGACTATTTGGGCCTGTAGGCTGTGTTCCTGTTGATACTGTGGAACAGGCTGTGAGCTGACAGCAGATCTTTTACCACAGGGTTTCTCAGAGGTTTTCATATCACTTCTCCTCAGTCCAGCACACAATACACCACTGACTCACATGAGATGAGATTTTAATCAAGGGGCTAAAGATTGAGCCCCTGGAGGATCCATTTGGAGTCCAGCACTTTCCTTCTTCAACAGTATAGAGGTAATTTGATACTGATGGGTGTCGAGGGGAGGCTGCTCTATGTTGCAATGTACCATCTCTATCATCCATCAGTGCCAATGTCTCCTACATTTGTTGTTATATAGTACCTGCTCAACACAGTGGTTTTTACAGCTCTTTACATTTAAGTGAGCTGATTGTCTTTGTACGGGTTGTAAAAGTAGAACTGTGTTCATGTCGGTTTTCAGTTATACAGTGATGAATTAAACATTATGTATTTGTACTGTTTCCAGATCTGGAAACAATGGCTTGTTTCCAGATCCTCATATGATCAGAAAATGAAATAAAGGATGTTACTCTTGAGTTTTGGATTGTAGTTTGTACAAAAGACACTGACCATTGGAGGAGCGTTTTGGGTTTTGGGAGAACAGAGGATGGATAGTTGATTTAGGCTATGATGCTGTTTGTCTCTAAAATGCATAGAGCTGTCACCACTGCCTCACTCATTCCAACTTGACAGAATCCCACTCAGACAGTAAGTTGCTACTTGAGGATGCGCTATTCACAGCTTTTTGTCACACAACATCAATGATTAATATGTTGGAGCAAACACACATTTTGACATGTTGCTTCTGCAGCGCAACAGTAATGGCAACAGTAATATGATGTGACTGCAGGAACCAAGTCCGACAATATAACTCTCATGTCTCTTTACCCACGGATGTGACCTATAGGAGCGCACGTGTGGCACGTGTGCTGGACTTTTGTTGCCAAGGAAACAATTAGTTGGGTTTGTGGAAGGGTAATGGTCTGATTTGGTTTAGGCAAGAAATCAATTTGGTTAGTTTCATGACAAGATTGGAGTTTGGGTTAAAATAAGCATTTCCCAAATTTATGTTCTCATGTCATAAGAAATTCACACTTAAGGTTGAAGAAAGATGGCAAATAATAGGAACAATGTTTTCACCTGTGGGAAAGTCACGTGTTTTGACTTACTCCTTTGCTTGTGCCATAAATACTACGACTGCTAGAGGTCTTCTAACATGTGGGTCATAATAAGTTGCTCACACTGGTAGCTTGGTTTTTACAGAACAGTCTCACCGCAGATGAAGCATATTCTATAGTTATCTGAAATTTTGACTCATAGATTGATGATCAGCGTACATCACTACCAGTCATGAGATCTCTAGTCTGAGATGAGTGTCTCCTCATCTCTCTCTGTTTTCTTTTAGTAGCTGTCTCTTTTACTTTCTTCATTCTCTGCCTCTTCCTCTTCTGCTTGTTTCCTCATATTACTTGATTTACTAATGTGTGTTTTCCCTTTCATCTCTGTTTTTGTTGATGTGAAAGCTGTATTGTAATTTGAAGCTGCAGCAGTGAGAAAGGGTTTAAATAAACCTGACTCAAGCTAAAACCTCATCTTTCCTAAACTGCTGCAGCTGCTTTACCACCACCTTGTGGACTGGAGTTGCTTAACCCAATTTACTACCCCAAGAAAAGTTAGGATGAATATAATCAGATTTGTCTTTTGTCCACATTTGTGTGTGGCTAAATGTAAATGAATGAGTAGGAGTAACATCTGGATTTTATCTGCACCTAGAATGATGCGCTCTCATTGCTGTGTGCTCATCCTCTTCTCTCAGTAACAGTCAGCAATGGCCTTACTTTAGTTTTGAGCCTTCACCTTTAATATTTCAGATTCATTTTCTCATAAAGTCTCCTCTATTTATTTATGTGCTTACTGAGCTGTAGCAAGTGCTCTACAGATGTTTTGCTTTGTTTGTTTCCATGCAATGTTGATGACGGGCCTTATACAGCCTGACAGAAACTCCTGCAGACACCACTCAGGCCAGTTGACGATCAGGATTCTATTGAAGAAACCAAAAGTTCCTTGTGATGATGTACTGAGAGTATTCAAAGGGTAAACCCTTATACAGTTGAAACGGTTTATAGTGATCACGTTTGTCCTGGGCCAAATTCATCACTAAGTGGTAGATAACTATAAACAAACTGCGTAGTCCCAGAAACTATGGTAAAGGTAAGGTCAGTTTTTAAGATAAGGACGATATCATTTTACTATTATTGATATCACTGACAGCCTGACTCTGCTGCTCACTTTTCTCTCTTTCTGCCTCTTTCCCTCTTGCTCTGACTTGCGAACACATACACAGGTTGACAACTCTGACCCGCTACAGTTTAAACTTTGATTTTTATGAAAAGATGCTACAATACTAACACTTATTACCACATAATGATCGATACTTTTCATAAATAAGTAAAAACTGTCTTCATAGCTGCGCATTCATTCATACTTCCGCTCGTCCTGACTTCGCCCTCAGACACACAAACAGTGTGATCAGACACGTGTGTAAACTCAGACTGGGTAATAACAACAGACTTTGTAAACTTGGACAATTTATATAGATCCAGAGGAGATGATGGGGCTTGACTTGGTTGGCAGTGAGCAGCGCAAATCATAGTGACACAGAGAGGAGCAGTAAAAAACTGACAGAGCCGGTAAAAAATATTTAACGGTCCAAACGTGTAAAAAGGACCCAAAATGAACACTTTAAGCACAGTACTTCATCACTATAATTATTTGGTTCATCATAGGCAAGGCTTAGTTTATTATGTTGATTTGATGTATATAAAAGGTAGAAATAAAAAGCTTTATGTAACTTCTGTAATGAATAGCATCTTTTATCATTTCTCTTGATTCTCCTGCAGCAGCCTGCTTTACTTCTCCTGTTTTAAGAGAGTAAAGAATTGATGTGAATATTTTCACTGCAGCGATCGTTAAATGTGTGAATGTCCCAGAATTTACTCGTTCTAAATTGTCATTTTTGTGATTAAAATATGCAATTTATGTAAAGTTTGACCATTTCACCATTCTAAACTTCCTTTGTTCAGGTGTTTTTGGAGCCGGATTGAAATCTAACCCACTGTGAGTTCCTGTAGCAGCACAATAGAGGAGGAGTTGCACTGCAGTCTGCTGCTGTGTTTGCTGAGGCATGATAACACATCTCCGCAGTGTGTGCGCATACAGTACGTGTACGTGAGACACAGGGGAGAAATGTGGGCGTGTGTGTGTGCATGTGACCTCCACATAGAAATCTGCAGTAGCACTTGTATGTGTGTATCTGAGGCTCAGTTTGACTGACAGGAGTTATAGTTTATCACAGAGAGACACAGAGAGGCACTGAGGCAAAATTGTAAAGCACAGGTACATCCCTTC